AGAGAGAGAGAGAGAGAGAGAGAGAGAGAGAGAGAGAGAGAGAGAGAGAGAGAGACAGAGAGACCGTGCGAGTACTTTGAAATTAATTTAAATTTAAATTCAATGTGCAACTTAAATTCACTTTAGAATCAGCTCAAAAGTTAAAATTAACCGTGAGAGTAGGAGAACATACGCGCGTCTATTTCCACTAAGCCACATGGTGCCTGCCTATCTGCTGCGCGGGCATACACTCGCGTCGGACAAATGTATACGCGTGTGGCCTGTCGTCGTGAATTTCGCAGGCGTGAATCTCGCGACAGGGACGCACTTCTCACCCCTGACGCATCCTTACGGGGCTCACTTTGCCAGCTTCGGCTATTAACCGCGTCTACGAGACGATGTAACAGCGGCGTACGGCCGTTTCATTACGGAGATCATTAACGCGGGCCGGCACGTATATGCCGAAATTTAAAATGCACGAGATCTAAAACTCAGTTAATAAACGCATTTAGTGGCGGTAAAACTTCTTGTTAATGGCACGCTCGGCTTTATATACATCTTGCCGCGCGAAGTTCTCTCTCGCAAAGCAACCAAGTTACCTTTTACGTCGCCGAAACAATGTGGGATTTAGTATTAGGCACCTCGAACAAAGAAGACTGAGATAAGAGCGCTCTCGGCGTGTCTTAAAAATCAACTCACCCTCCATTCTCTTTTTCTCTCTCTCTCTCTCTCTCTCTGTTTCTGCATTATTAAGTATTATCGTGTAATTATATACGAAAATATATATCTGCACTCTTCGCTAAATTTAAATATCTTTGTTGATAAAACGTGTGATAACTTTTAATCCTTTTATTTCTGATCTTAATATTTTAAGTCTACTTTGATATTCTAAAACTTAAATAAATTTCCTTTAATTCTATTTAACTTACTGACTTTGTCAAGAAGTTTTCCTTTTAAAACCTACAATTTTATATTTTCTACCATTTAAAGACGCTTCAATTTACATAAAAATGGTGTTAAAAATTCATACAAATAGAATAATTTTCAAGAAAAATCTATCATTAGCTAAAGCTAAACTGATCAGTTGCTACTGACTAGAATTTATTAGTCAATAAATATAAAAAAATAGTTGGCAATATTTCTTGGCCAGTTATTAGCCAGAAACTAGGTAAAAAAAAAAGTATACCTAGGTAAAAAATATACCTCTACAATCATCATAATCATATGAATGAATTTACACGTAAAAATACTTTATACCTTCTGAAACTCGAGTTTCACATTATTTTTATATCGAATAATAAAATATAATATTTTACAATATATATAAAATCGAACAATAAAATATGACAGAATTTTATGCAAAAAAAACTGACTGTGCCATTATTAGCGAAGCAAAAACATCGTCTAGACTATGAAATTAACCAATAATCAAAAATCCTATATATTACTGGCTACGAAGAGGTCTCTTTTTACTCGGCCACCCGACTCTTTAAAATGTACGAATGCAAAAAACTTCAGGTAGAGAGTCAGGCTAAAATTTCGATTCGGGAAAATTCAAGATGTTAAAATTATTGCATGTAAAATCGCTTTTGTTCGTCGCTCCAGCGAACGATACCATTCCGCGTAACGCCGTGAATAAACCAACCCGTGAATTATCGACTGATAATTTTCTCCGAATATGTTGCAGCTCTACCGCAAGAAAGGCCGATGATAACCGGCGAGGAGAAGGTGTACGCGAGCGGAGATGTGCTTGCGCTGAATTGCACCAGCGGCAAGTCCCATCCTGCCGCGCAACTAAAATGGTTCGTTAATGGCCAGCAGGTGAGCGACTGCTTTCAGACATTCTTTAAGAACCACTTGTCGTAGCATCGGAGAAGCAGCGACGGCCAAAGTAGAAGACGTTAAACCACCGTCGCCGTCAACGTCGTTGTAGTGGAAAATATTCAACGCGTCACTTAAGTTACTCGCGTTGCTAACGTAGACGGTTAATGCGAACGAATATGGCGCGCTAATACGGACAACTAAAGTATTTAAGCCAAGTATTTAAACCAAGTAAAAATGAGACAGTCCTGCGATCGATGCCGTATTATCGTAATGTACTCAAGTATGTCCATTAATTCTCGCTCACTGACACTAGCTTATCAAGTTTTCGCGAAATCTAGGTGTTCGATAACGGAGGAGCCGCAATGTAGATTAGATCAAATGGATGAATAATGAACAAAAAATTCCCTTAATATTTTGCGAACAACCACGTAAAAATTTTGAGTTTTAATCTAAGAAGATTCGTGAATGATCACGCAGTTAGCCAGACTGTGCTTTAATAGAACTCGAATTTTCCAAAGGAGCAATGACAAATCGGCATAAATAAACGTCAAAGAGAATGCTTTTGTTTTATATCGCTACATCGACTCATTAACGAGCCATAGTCATTTAAAACCGCAGTATCGGCGTCAGACTTGGCATTAACGCCAGACTGAGCGTGCCACCTACTGTTGCGCACTGACATACTATCCTCATCTAAAGCGAGATCAACGACCGCGTGATCGAAGCGAACACGTGACCGAAGCGAGCACGTGGCTGGAGCCACCACCCTTGCCGTTCAGATTCTTGACCATCTTGATTCTGATACACGGAGTGACTTAAATGATTTAAATGTCCGAGCGCTGATAGAGGGCGCAGATAGAACTCGTTACATCGAATAGAAGAATCAAAATTTGCAAACAACCACGATCATTTTTTGGATGCTTATTAAAGAAAATATTGGTCAGATGCGCGCGACATGGCAGAACATGGCTCTGCGGAGTAGCCTGATGAGACACGTCTTGGGTTTGAATGTTTCCTAGCATCGGGGAAAATTGGATGATAGCGAACACTTGTAGTTACTTGTATTTACTAAATCAGGAAACAAGTCAAGAAGAAAGGCATGCCTCCTCAGACTTCCTATTTACAGAGACTTTCGTCCCACCCATTTGGGTGTATCAATCGGTCAGTTTTCTTTGATGCTAACTATCGCGCTACACAATGATACAGAACTTTTCTACTCAGTTTGAACGGGTTTCTAGACACCCTTTGTATCGAATATCGAAAGCATGCAACTTAGCGCAGCACGTAAGCGGCGCTGGAAACTGCGTGACCGCGCGTTGGGGTTAGGGTAGCGTTATAGAGGTATTGGCGAAGGCCAGCGGACGAACGAGGATGGCTGAGCACGGAGCTGGGCGGAGGAGGGAGGGAGAGGCGAACGGCAAGCCGGTTTCACAGTAAGCCGACTGAGAGTTCGGCCGCGTCGCAGCGACGCGGCTCGATTTCATCGCAAGCAACGGCAACGCTTGATGAGCCAAAGCTCCAATTAACGGCCGACGAAACGGATCCCCGTTGCAGCTGCACCGACCGGCCACTACCACCACCCCCGGCGTCGGTGTTCAGCACCGGAAGCCTTCTAATGCGCGCCACGGATCGCTGATGCACCGTGGTTTCGCTCTCCTTCTCCTCCGCACCCTCCTCGTACCCTCGGATGCCGAACTTGCGCTCGCAGAGCCTCGCGGTGAATATCGCGAGCGTGTCGGACGAAAGGTCAAAAGCGCTCGCTGTCGGGAGATAAGTCGAGAGGAGAAAGAGCCGCGCGATTCTCGTCAGTGGCTGCGATGGAGAATTTCATCAATTCGTTCGTCGTTCCGCGGCACAAAGAAACTCCCGACCAGATATTCGCGCAATGAGAAAGTCTTCCGCCTGAATCGTTACTCACATAGACTTTTCATGGTTACCACGACGCGCGATAATCTGTGACGGAGACTACTATTCTTTCAATTGCATCCATAAAGCAAATATATCGCACTGAATTTTCATATTAAATTTTTCACATGACGTTATTTTGAGCCAAGTTCAATCATTCTTTATGCATATTTCTTTCGTATTTCTATCTCGTCAACCTACATGATGAATATCACGTTAACTATTCGTAAGAGACGTAACCTTTTGCTGTCAAATTTAGATATGACTAACCTGTATAGGTTACCAGAATAGACTTTTATAATCTTCACGACGTGAAACAATCGGTGATGGAAACTTTACAATTATTCCAATTGCATTTGTGCATTATAAATCGACTAGCAAAGCCAAATTGACGTACACCTGTCTATCTGGGTATCCCCTTGTCGCGCAGTGATCCCCGTGAATCCGGAAGCCTAGCTTATTTCCTTACAGCGGCGCGGCCAAAGAGCTTTGCTTCGTGTTTTGAAATCTGGCACGCATAGCCCGCCGTTCGTTCGTTCGTTCGTTCGTTCGTTCGTTCGTTCGTTCGTTCGTTCGTTCGTTCGTTCGTTCGTTCGTTCGTTCGTTCGCTCGCTCGCTCGTTCGTTCGTTCGTTCGTTCGTTCGTTCGCTCGCTCGCTCGCTCGCTCGCTCGCTCACTCACTCGTCATCGCTGTCTGTTTTTCACAAGAAGAAGAAGCACGCGATGAATCGAGGGCCGGAGAAGAAGGGGTGGCACGCTCTATTCTACGGGATTTTTATTTCTCTCGTTTCACGTTATTATTACAAAGTTTCCGTTCTCCCGCCACGTCACGAATAATTCAATCCTCCTATCGCTCGGGGCCGCCGGAGCTTCTATCGCATGCATATTGATGTATCGTTATCGGCGCCGCCGATGGAAGAAAGCGCGGACATGCGCGCGCCCCCGGCTTCGTGCGAGAATAAGGAATAAGCCCGATCAAATCTCCGACGCGGGAGGACGAGCGCTCGATTTTCGGTCGCGGCGAGAGTCCGCATCGCAATTATACTTATTCCGCCGAACGAGTTCGGAACGCTGATATCGATCCGAAAGGAGGAAGATGTCCAACTAGTTACGAATTGAAGACGAATCGAGGACGCGAGGAACACGACTGACTCGCGCGCCAAGCAAGAAACCGTGTGTGCTCGCCGGTGCATTCACACCTCCCGAATTAAAATTCGAACAGCACGAGCGAAACCACTAACGTGACCGATGTTTCCCCCCCTCGACACTTTCTGCGGGGAATCATAAGTTCACACCGAAAACGCAAACCTACACACGAGACCATTCAATTTCCGCGACGACGGCCGCTGTTCACCACGTCGTTTGGCACGAGCGACCGTCGCTGGCGAAAGGCGCATGGCGGAAGCACGCGGGACGCGTTCCTAAATTGAAATTTTAGCTCTACTTTGGACGAAAGTAGAATCAAAATTTTGACTTGGTTTAAGCTGAGAAGTGAATAAATCGCGTAAAGCGGAAACACTTGCCGACGAGAGAGCCAAAGATTACGTGTAATGAGCAAAGCTCCTTCTTCGAGGTCTCATAGTGAATCACATACGGTGGCGGTAGCGGCGACGCCGAAACTTTCCCCCTTATCTTTTGGATTCCGGTCTTCTTCCTTTTCCGCGGGAACGCACCTCTCCCCCTTCCCTTCCCTTTCCTTTGCTTTCCAACCTTCCTCCCGCCCCGCCGTCGCTTTTCTTCCGAGAAAACTTCGCAACGCTCCCAACGACGTCCATTAGAAGTTGCGCGAGTTTAGTATAGCACTTAACAAGTAATATTGTTTCGGAAATGTTCGTGTCGCGAGACTCGAAAAACCTGTTAACGCGAGCCGAGTAATCTCACAGAGGGAAAAAGTTCGATCGCTCGGCAACTTAGTGAGTGCGTCGCGGATAAGCGGCATAACGAGAGAATCATTGTCATAAAATAACGGGGATGGGAGGGGGGGAACCCGAGTCTCTCTCTCTCTCTCTCTCGAAATATTGGTCCTATGTTAAATCTTGAATTCTACAACGCAGCAGGGACTAAATTAGCAAAGTATAGGTTTAACTCTAATGATACGATTTATTCCTACTCTGATTATGTCCAAAATTTTCCTTTTCGCTCTCTTTAGCATCAAAATAGATTATACTATAAGTTCCAGAATATTAAGATAAATGTAAATAATGAAGCTAAAAATAGGATCAAAATTTTGACTCAGAAGAAGGCGGCCATAACGCGATTAGACGCTCCTCCCTCTTTCTTTCCGCGACTTGTATCCGCTTGACAAATGAAATAATTTAATTGTTTTAGCGTTGCAAACGGGCACGTGCATATCGCTATTAATAACTGCTGCATTATTCAGCTGCGTGGTGGCGCAGCTGAGGGGAAATTTTCCCATTCCCTTCAAATAATTTCACGAGGGAATAATTTCGCCGGATAAATATTCATCGTTAAACGCGCGTCAGGCGTCGTGTCTCCGCCAGATAATTATTAAATGAAATGTTAAGAGAGAAAATTGAAAATACAACGCTCTTTTCCCGTGTCGGTATCCCAGACGCGCGCGCACGCAAAAAAGAGATACAGTGTCTCGCGCGGTAATCGTCGAGGATTATAATGACGGCGAGGAAACGCGACGAGACGACTTCTAAATCCCTTAGCCTCGCAATAGCGACTTTTTCAACCCTTTCAAAGACGCCAAGTGTCGTCCTGTAAAAATGCCGCGGCAAATGGCGCTCTGCTCGTCATGCACCGGCCGAAATCGCGTACCTTTATGAATTATACCGCTATAAGAGAGAGTGATCTACGTCGTTGCGACTCCACGTTGTTGTAGCGCCGCACTTGGCTCCACGACGAATATTATGTCGCCGTCTGCGGCGGACGGTAATGGATCGAAGGTGATTTTGCGGGTCCTAATGAATTCTTTTTGACCGAACGCGACATTAGACGGCGGGTGGTGTTGAGAAACGAGTTTTCCTCGAAGCGTAGTTCGCGTAGGACGGCTCATATTCCGGGCTAATCGCCGGCATTACACCAATTAGTTTTTACGACGATCTCAAGTGCCGCCGCGGCTACCA